ATGAATGTCATGCGAGCCAGATGCCAAGGATCGTGGGGTTTTTATTTTTTTCGAGCCCGAGCTAAACAGCAAAACCTCTGGTCCTGGGTTGGTTTTATTTGCCTGACAGCTCCATGGTTGAAAGTTTTGTGTTTTGAAGCTTGCTTCTTCCAAGCTGTGGGTTGGAAATGTCCTCCTTTTTCTTTTAGATGTAAAGGAAGGCTTTTCTGCAGCACAGCACGCAGTGGCTCCTGTCTCTCTGGGTGCCTCCTCCTTATGCCTCTGCCCAAGGTGCAGCCTCTGGGTGGTTTTCAGCTGCCAAGGCACCTGCCTCTCCCCACTGGCCTCCAAAAGCTCTTTGCTACTTGGCACCTTGGGGTGTTGTGGCCCAGTGCCATGCGTGAGGTTGCCTGTGGGCAGGGGTGGCATTCACTTGGCACGTGTGAGGTTGGCATGTACCCCTGTCCAGCCCCTTCAGGAGAGCGGTGCTCAAAACCAGGTCAGCTCCCTGCTCTGCTGAAGCTGCCCACCAAGAGAAGTAGCACAGAGAGATAGATGCTCAGCGTCTCTCACAGGCAGTGATCCGAGTAGCACAACCTCAGTCTGCTCGCTTTGTCTTAGAGGAGTGGACGGCGATGGAGGCTGAGCTGTGCAACCTGGGGTTTTCCCCTCCTGCACACACCACTGGGATTGGGCCGATGACTTTTAGCTGTGCTCCCTTCTAAATGCTGCACTGCTCCACAAAGAAGTGAGATTTTTTTTCTTTTTGCTGTCCAAATCCAAATTTTGCAGACTGGGCCATCTGTCAATTCCCTCCTACGTTGTTCTGTTCATATTAAATTGTAATGAAGGCCAGACTGAAGAAGGAATTAGGTCAGACAGGAGGTTTAGTCTCCATTTTTTGGGGAGATGTTTGTTGCCCAAGAGAGGCACCGTGGTTTGATTGGCTCTGCACAAGCCTGGATTCAAAGGATGCCTGAGCTGTCCGCCAAGATTTGGCAACTGGGCCTTTTAGCACATTGTGGCCTCTTGGCCCCTGACTCTTCAGCAGCTGGACAGAAATCACAGATCCAGATGATTCTGCAGCAAATCCTGAAAAAATCCTTTAACAATCTCGGGTGGGAGGATGGCTCCACTGCAGACCTGCCCCTTGGGCTCGCTCCTGGCATGCCACAGCCACTCCAAGAAGACCCTCTCTGTTGGTGTGTTCCTACTGGCTGGGGGGCTGCTGAGAGGTGTTTGGGAGCCCCCAGCCGTGGGTGCAGCAGTGTGTGCTGCAAGGGGGGAAATACACAGGAGTCAAGGCAGCAGCACCATCCCAGGTATGGCAGCTCACCTCTGAGCTGGCTCAAGGGGCAGCCTGGGGTCATGTGGGGACTTGGGAACATGAGAGAAGGCAGGAGGGGGACGCAAAGGATAAAGAGGAAAGCAGATCCTCTCCAGGCAAGGAGAGGTGAGTGGTGTGCTCCAAAGGCTTGTCTGAGTCTTTCTGGCACCAAGACGGCTGCTCTCAGACATGGGTTGTTCAGAGGAGCTTTAAGTGCAATTCCCAGGGTAGTACAGGGCACCTGTGCAACCAAGAAATTCCTCTTGCATCACCCTCTGGCACACTGTGTGGGGTTTGAGCCTTCATTAGGAGGAATTTGGCGCTCAGGTTATTGGGCATCTGACATATCTTGCACTGCCATTCCCACCGCTCATGGTTAAAACTGCATCCTGGAGTGTCTGAGCTCTCCATGTGCACGTGAGGCGGAATGGCAGCTGGCCCTGCTGATTCAACCCACTTTGGCAAGGATGAAACTTTGGTGGGTGTAGCCTCTCTCCTAGCAGAGATGGGACCTTGTTCTTTAGGAAAGCACCCTGCTGCCTTATTTCTGTTACATCTTACATGAGAGAGGCTTTCTGATAAAAATTGAAGGATTTTCCAGCCATCAGTGTGAATTTACTGCTGTCCCACAGCTGAGGGGGCTGTCCCTGTACTAATGCTTGGACTAGAATCCAAAAGCAGTGTTGTCTCACATTTCCAGTGGAGAATGAAGGCTTGAATGGGTTCACAGGGCTTTGACTCATGATGCTGAGCAGGATTTGGCCATGACAACTGAAGCCGTATGCAACCTGTGGTGCTGGCATGGTGCTTGCACTGGGTCACAGGCTGTAGGTACCCAGCCGTGCTGTGACACCGGGTTTTGGGGAGCAGCGCCTGCTCCAACAGCCATGGCAGGGCAGATGTAAGCTTTCCTGAGTGGGATGCTGCTCGTGCTTGCTAAGGAGGAGCAGGAGTGGGAAAGGATCAATTGAAAGGTCATTAGGATGCCCTGAGCTGATGATGGCACCGTGGGAGCCTGTCTAGCCTTCGGGTGAACCCTGGGGCCTTTTCCTCTGCAGGGTCAGTAGGTCCAAAGCAAGAGGGAAGTGCTTATGGGGTTGGGTTGCAGCTCCATCAAGCTGGAGAGAAACTGCAGCACTGGGTAGTAAATAAAGATGCTTTTTGATTTGCTGCCCGGTTTCTTGTTACACAGCTGCTGGAGGGAGCGGGGAGACGCCAAGGTGACAGCGGTGGAAAGGGCTGGAAGTTGACGCATGGGCGAAGGGGGACATCACTGCATCACACACCTCCACATTGGCCTGGCTCTGGATGACAGTGTTGGGGCCATACCTGTCCTCATGGCTTCAGGGGGGCTTCCTGACCAGAGTTACAGGGTGCATGGTCACCCTGAAAAAGCTCTCAGTGGAGGCAGGGAAGGCTGCCAGGGGCCACCTTGTGCTTGTGGTGCGGGTTATGCAGGAGCGGGTATTTTCCAAGGAGCATAAGATTTTTTCCAGAAAAGGTATCGGGTCTCCCCAGCATCAGATATCGCCCCGCCGACAAAAACTTGCTCTCCCCTTGCTTCAGAGCGTCTCACCCCTTTCTTTAGACTGAATGTGGAGGAAAAAATGCCTTTGTCACCTGTGCCACCAAGCAAGTCCCTTCTGGGGGGCCGTGTCTGGCTTGGGGGAGGCCGGCAGGCAACCTGCTTGTTAGCCACAGTGCTTGCAGCCAGCATGAGTTTAACTGGGTATGAGAGATTATTTGGGTGTCCTGAAGTCCCATGTCAGCAGCTTCAAGAGCGGCACTGGCTGGCACACATCTGCCACCCCAGCAATGAGCTGCCAGTGCTTCCTGCACCCTGGGGACACCAGCAATCAGGAGCTGCATGTAAGAAAAGAGGGGAAAAGAAAAGCATCATTGGTCTTTTGTCAGTTGGAGATCTGGCTGACGATTCTGCTGCACCAGGCGCGTGCGTGACTCAAGCAGTGAAGGTGATGCTGTGGAAATGCTGGGGAGGCCCAATATACACCTGTTGGCCGCTTGATAAAAACATCAAGGTGAAAAGGTGTTGGTGGCAAAACAGTGCAGCTAGGAAGTACGATGCAGGCACAGCCTAGTGCTATCCATCTGCTCCTGCGTAATATAGATCAAAGACCCCACAGTGTGCTCTGGGGACTAGTGCTACTGGAAAAGCTGGTCCAGGTCCCATCACTTGCTATTTTGAGCCAGATTTGTTTCTACGGCTGCTGCCTCTCTTGTCCAGAGCCCTGGAGGGGTTTTGCCAGCCTTGCAGGTCTCTGCCAGCTCAGGCTGAGCAATACGATGGGCATCAAAGCACGTGCAGGCGGGATGCCCCTCTCAGCCCACCCAGACAAAACCTCTGTTTTGGCTTTTCTCACTGCTGATTCCTGTCCTCCTACTGTTCAGGAGAGTTTGTGACTCGTAAAGCACAGCACATTTCTATCAGCGATGATTTGAGCTATGTGCTAGTAAAAAATTGGTAGCAAGGGTGGCTTTATTGCTGGCAGGACTGTAGCGGTGCCCCGGGAGAGCTGGGCTAATTTCCTGGCTGCGTTGCAGACTTCCCCTGTGACCTTGGGCGAGTCATTTAATCTATCCTGGGCTTCGGCTCCATCTCTGAGCATCCCGGGGGGGTGAGGTAATATTCATTAACTGATATTATTCTCGAGTTGCTCAGATGCTATGGTGATGAAGGCTGGATGTGAAACCCAGCATCTTGGCTGCGTGTTAGCAGGGAGAGAGGGTGCTCCACTTGAGATTTAGCATTTTGAGTTCACCTGTCTGGCCACCATTGTTATTTGGCTGTATATACACAGTAATGGTCATCAATGAAGGACTGTAATGCCTTGAAACATTCATGGGTTTTGCCTCATCCAGTGAGGCAATATCACTCTTGCTTTACACCTGCAGAAGCTGACATGGAGGTAAAACTGTGTGCTGGAGCTGAGTCAGGGGAAATCTTTGGGTTAGTTAGCAAATATCCAGGGAGTTTCTTTTTTAATCCTTCACACAAGCTAATACCCCCTTGGCCCTCCTTGGTGATGCCTTAGGCAAGTTTCCCGTGGGACTGCTTTGCTTCTGAGGGATGTCTTCTTGGTCCCAGTTCTCATCAGCAAACACGGCTTGTGCAATCAGCCCCTCTATTGCCTGAGCCTCAGCTGCATGAGTCTCTCACATGCCCAGGGCAAAGGCCGCTCCCTGGCAAAACCCAGCTTTCCTCAAAAGCAGCTCTAGGACAGCTTGAAACTTCATTTGATTCTGGTTTGGGTGAACATGTGTTCATGTGGCTCATGAAAACCTATAATCAGAAATAAAAAAATCCCCCAAACTCCCAATAATCATTCTAATGATCTCCCATGCAGATGGGGGAAAAAAATAAAAAATCATGCTGTTGAAAGAGTAGGGGGAATAAAAGCCTTTCAGAGGTAGGCTGAAGTGGGATTTTACAATGGAAAAACTGCTTCAATGCAAACCTTGTCTGACTGGAGCAGCTGACCAGTGGGGCGAGTGCAGGGAGCCAGCCTTGCACCAGTGGCCAGCTCAGTGCTGCCGGTCCTGCCCTGCAGCATCCTGACATGTCTGGGCATCAAACCCCAGGCGTGCTGTGACGGGGGGCTTTGCCTGGGGTAGGTGGCAGAGAGGGGTGTCTCGTGCCATGTTAACACTGTGCCTTTGTCTCCAGGTGCAGAGGATGTGTGCGGCGAGGAGGATGCTGCTGCTGCTGCTGGCTTTCCTGGCCTATGAGCTGGATTCAGCTGCGGCGTATGGCACAGCGGAGACCCTCTGCGGTGGGGAGCTGGTGGACACGCTGCAGTTTGTCTGCGGGGACAGGGGCTTCTACTTCAGTAAGTGCTGGTCAGCTGTTGGCAGCAGGCAGGATGCTGCTCCCACCCCAAGCCTTGCTTCAGTGGAGCCGGGATGGGAGGGAAAGGAAGAGTTTCCCAGACTAGCTGGGAAGGCTTTTTGTGATTGCCTTCTACATGGTGGTAGGCCTGGAGATGAGTGAGAAAAGCAGTGTGCTCGGGGTGACACACGCACCCCTCTTGCACTGATTTTGAGGACTCTCTAGTCCCATGAGGGAAGTGGGTCCTGCATTTGATGCTTGGAAAAGTCAAATATCGCTGGGGAGCCATAGGTGGTTGGCTCACCGATGATGTTAAAATAATGAGGATGTCTGCAGCCAGCTTTCTGCTGAGCTCAGGCTCTGGCTTATTTTTAAACCTTGCTGCCTATGTGCTGCACCTGAGAGCAGGCAGGGATCTGGGTGCTCCCCCTTTCTGGGCACGTTTTGCTTGGGAATGGCAGCAGTTTCTAGGCTGCTTCCAAAACACACTTTATGGCCTGCTGGGTACCCAATGGTGAACTTGTCGCTGAAGAGGGATGTCTTACCATTCTTGCAGCACGGCTAATGCAAAAAAAATGCAGTGTTTCAGTTGTCCACAGAGTGCAGGTGGCTTCAGGACAGTTGGCTGGAGTGGGTTTTCCACCAGGATGCTTGGTTGTTTGGACTGTTGTCATTAGCAATGCAATGGCTTAGCCGGTAATCAGGGAGGAGGAGAAAATTGGTAACAGTGGATGCTCAGTAATCTATGGGCAAAGGTGTCTTGAGTTTCATGCCTTGTTCTGGTGTTTTGGTCCTCTGCTCATCTTGGGAGTGGGAAGACCCTGTGTCTTGCTGCCCCATGAGAACTGAGCCACAGAAAGACTGACAACGTGAAAGATGCAAACCAAACAGGGGGAAGCGGAAGGTGATACCAACTGTACGTGATGCTGTGCACTTGGCAGTCTTGTCTCTGCCTTGGGAAAAGGAATTAAGAAGTCATTTTCACGTTACAGGGTGTTTTTGGAGTTGTGGAGTTGAGAGCCAGCCTCCCTCTTGTTCCAGTGTGTCTGTGCAGAGAACAGGGTGCTGCGGGAGACTACCCTGGATGTCCCGTCCCAGCCTCGGTGCTCAGCCAGTCTTGGCTGATGCTGCTAGCTGAGGCTGGGCAGGGAGAAGTGCAAAAATCCTCCATTCAGCAACAGCTGTGTAACTTTGGGCAGGTGGTTGGGCTGGAAGTGGCTTTGCAGCTCACTGGGGTGATCACCTTGCCCTATTCCAGCTGAGCAGCAGATGGTTGCACCATGCCCCAGGTGTTGCGTGCAGGCAGCACTTTTGAGGACACCCTGTGGACACTTCCTTCCTCTTGCCAAGTGGCAAGGGTTTGCCTGTCAGCTGCCCTTCCTCATCTCCCCCTTCCACCTTTCCTCTACCAACAAACCCTGCGCCGGAACTTAAGCAAGGCGATGGGTCCAGGACTGGCCTTACTGGTGCATCGAGGAGGCAAGCTGCTGTCCCGCTGTCACACCTCTTCCTCTCCCTCCTATATATAGAGGAGCACCTATCTCCCTCCCATGGTTTCTCTTCCCTCCTCCCTTTCTCTGGGATGAAAAGTAATGAGGCTTTTGTTTTACGGACAAACTGACCTCTTCTCACCTCAAGTAACCCAGCTGTCCAGGCCAAAATAAAAACACTTTTGAAGGCAGAGAAGTTGCTTGGTTCCAAGTGGCCAATCTGATGCTTGCAACTGAATTCTTGCCCCTGGTTTTTTTTTTTTTTTGTCCTCTCCTTGTCCCCCCTTCTTCTTTCCGAGTATTTCTGCAGAGCTCAGGTGCTAGGGGATGAAACCAAGTTTCATTTTAACCCCTTCAGCATCTGACCAGTCTGTGCTGTGCAGGGCTGAAGACATTTGGGTGATGGCTCTACCTGATGAAGGGTTTGGACATCCCCATCTTGCTTCACTTCTTCTCTCTACCTCCAACAGCTGGCCTCATAAAGTGATTAATTCTCCTGACCATATTCATCTTCACTCCTAAACCCTCATGGCTGCACTGTTGTCACCATGTAGGCTCAGTAGGGCATTAGTTATATTACGTGATCATGGGTTTATGTGTTAAAACTGGACCTGGTCTTGTCATGAGTACTTCTCAGCATGGGACATGTGACCTTGTGTTAGCACAGGCTGCTCATAGTCATTTGTACAGGAGATAAATTACTTGGGCAGCCTTGTCCTGCAGGTGCAGGTGAGCCCTGCTGGATGGGGCTTGTTGCAAGTATCCAACTGGTAATTTCGGCAAGAAACCCAAAAAATGGTACAAAAATGCATTATCGGTTTTCTGCTGCAGCAGTGATTTAAGATCTTAAACAATGCACTACATTCTTACAAGAGAACACTTAGCTAGCGAAGCTGCCTCTGGAATGCAGCACTGTTTGCGCCCATGCAAAGGGATGCAGCATGCTGACAGTGTGCCATTCCCCTGACATCTGGTGACGGGGAAGTATGCAGCCTAGACTGAGGATGGTGCACCCCCTGATAGCAGGGATGCCCATCTGTCTGCTGGCTTGGGAAGCGAGTCTCAGCCTCCAGTTGCCCTTGGAGGCATCATGGCTGGCTGGTTCTTGGGACTGAAGATGTTGAAGTTGCCTCTGAGAGCTGAGGCTGCAAAAAAGCTACACCAGCTGGGGAAGGAGCCGACAGAACCAGTGTTTCCTGCCACAGGACGCAGGGTGGGCATGGCAGTGTGCACCACTCCAGCCCTGTGCTGCATCCCAGGGGTGCCTGGGCAAGCTGCAGCTGGAGCCATGCATGCACTGTACTCTGCCCCAGCTGTGATTCCTCCCCTCTGTGACTTTTTAAGGCTCTTAGGGCTGAGCTGCAGGTGCCAGCAAGGTCGTGACATCCACTGTGGCTCTGTTGTTTTGGGACCCCCTGTCCCCGCTCACTAGCACCCATCCCAGGGATGGCAGCATGGCCCACAGAGGGATGCTGAGTGCAGCTCCGAGTGAAGAAAGCAGGGCAAACCAAGAGGAAGCCCTGGCTGCGAAGTTGCTGTCATGCAGTGCTGGCAGGGAGGGGAGAAGGGGCTGCAGAGGGAGAGGCGTCGGACTTCTCTGTAAACAACAGCTCCCGTTTCCTCCTTTCCAACAGCTGATAAGAATTTAGCTCTTTGCAGCCGCTTGTGCTGACAGGGCACATTCTTGCGCACCCGCCGCTCCTCCAAATAATACTAGGAAAAAGCAGGGGGGAAAGTGCGGTGCCGGGATGGGGGAGGGACAGGCCAGGGGCACTGGGACGGGGCCCGGTGCTGCACAAAGGCCCCCTTGTTGCTCCCAACATTCCTGTGACAGGGGTACAGGGACTGTTTACACCCAAAGTCCCCTTCCACTCGGCTTGCCGCCTGATTGACCAGACGAGAGGGGACCCGGCCAGAGTGGCACTGGCACCGCGCACCCTTCCCTATGGCATCCGTCTGGCCCTGGTGAGAGTGGGGAACCTGGAGCAGCAGGGTGGCAATGCCAGGGAAGGGAATCTCCTGTCCCCCTCCGGTGTGTAGGAATAGCTGTGCTGCAGGTATGCGGCCTCTGGGTTCTCCCAGGAATGGGTTTGGGTTTGTGCTCCCACTGGGATGCCCAGCCCTCTCTGTCAGAATAGCCTACTGCCAGATGGGAATAACCCTGGGCAGCCAGAGAGCTTTGCACCATTGGACTTTGCATCACTGGGCTTTGCATCGCAGGGCTCAGCCCCTCAGCAGAGCTGTGGGAGGTTGTGGTGAAGCACAACTTGGAGAAAAGAAAGCATAGCCATTCATTGAAGGCCGAGAGGAAGCGCGCTTCCTCAGGAGGAGGCGGTCATTGCTGCAATGGGAAGTGGCTCATGTGGCGATGCAGCCCGCTGCCCGCACAGCTCTCCCATGCAGGCAAGGGACGGAGGAGCAAATCCTTCCCTGGGTTTGGCAGTGGCAGTAAAGCAAGATGCCACCCATGGGCAAAAGCCAGGAAATTCAACCTTTAGTCCATGCGTAAATTGTGTTACGGAACAAACATTTTTCCCAATCCAGGTCAGCAGCGATACTGCTGTTAACCACCAATGTCCTGGCATCTCTTCCTAGGGTTGTTGTCTCCAGGTACTTTCAGGGACCAAATCCCTGTTTGTTTTGTTTGCCTGGTTTTTTTTTCCTAAAGTAACTCTCCCACAGAGGATTGTATTGGCATTTGGCGAGATCCGTACGAACAATTATGTAATGGAAAATGTGCCCTATTGGACCATCGCAGCAGAGCTGGCAGCAGCACCAGCAAGGGGAACGGCATGCAGTGGCTTTATGCAAGAGAAGGGGCAGCGCATGGGGCTGGTGGCCACACGTGTGCCCACAGACCTGGCAGGGGCAGTGAGTGGGGAGAAAGGGGCCATGCCACCACGGTGGTCCTTGCCGGGAGTTCAGCCTGGTGGTGCCATACTTTGGTGTTTGCAAATGTGCTGCTATGATCTCCCCACATGCTTCCATGCCACAAAGTGCCCGTGTTGGCAAAGTGGTGAAAATGGTCCCACTTTGCTTGTTTGGTTTTTTTTTTCCCCACCCTCTTCTTTCCAAACAAACATGTAGCTCCAAGCGGGCAACTTCTGATTTTGAGAGGAGACATGTAACCTTTCAAAACCTCAACTTCTCCCCAAACTGTGCGTGTTGTCACTTGTGCAACCTTCTGTTCAGCGGGAGTGTGAATGCAGCCCTCTGGGGATGTGCTAGCAAGAGGGGGTGACTTCAATTTTTTCTCTTTTCCTTCCAACCTCTCCTTCTGCCCATGCTCAGGATGCCTTTCTGGAGCAACCTAATGCTTCAGCAACCTGCCACACACACAGGTTTGGGCAGTGGGGTCAGTAGGTGATGAGTGGGGGCTATACGTGTTGCGGGATGCAGCAGCAGTGCATGTCTCCCATACACCTTGCTGGGTATTGCATGCATATAGAAGAATACATGCACCTGCTCCTAAGCCGATTCCTCTCCCCCATCTTCCTTGGGCATTGCAACCTGGATTGCCTTTGCTGGCATCATTCATATGGCTGTGGGCACCCAACACACCTGCCCTGCCTTTAAAGGGAGGGCCTAATTCAGTGTGCTTGTTGGCCACAAGCATTTACAGAGAGAAAGTTAAACTCCTCACAGCGCTCCCTTTTCTGAGCCTTTACCAAGAGAGAACTGTTCTTTTCACCTTTCCGCAGGGCTGGCTAAAGATTGTGTCTGAATTTTTTTCCAGAGGATAAGAAAAAGAAAAGGAAGGTGGTGGCTCAGGGGAGATAAATGTGGAAAACAGCATTTGACATGACTGCCGAAGGTGCGCTGCATATATGAGTCAGCTGCCCCATTGCCCTGTGCCCTGATGCTGCACTTGCTCTAACAACCTATGAGTGCAGTGGCAATGCGTGAGCATGGAGCAGAGGGCTCCCTGCTGACTGTAACAGAGAGTGGGTGTCCTGCTGCCAGGGGCTTTGTTGTTGCAGAGTCCATGGTGAAGTATGGTTGCGGGTTTTGCATGTCAGCATTGCACACATGGGATGCATTCTGCACGCAGGACTGCGTTGAACATGCAGGTCTGCATTGCACAGACATTTTCGTATTGCACATATGGGGCTGCTTTTCACATGTAGGGTTGCACTGCACATGCAGAAAACTCCTGTGCTTTGTACTTTGTCCTGAGGCACTTTGGATGGGCACCCGGATGGAAATTCCCCCAAGGAAAATTGGTCAGCACCTTGCAAGCCAGGGCCCTGAAATATTCACCGAGGTCAAATACTTGAGTGCCTGCTTCATCCAGGGTGCAGGAGGGGATCACAGGTTGTGCACGCAGCCAATGTGGACCGTTTTGTGTGTTCCTGCAGGCTGGCTGGGAGGTGAGGGCTCAGTATGGCATGGTAAGCAGCATTAGACATTGCATTTCCACTGCTCTCTCAGTTATTCCCATGCCCAAATTCTCCTGGATGGAATGTGGTACAGGATCCAGTTTGGAAGCCCCACTGGTGTCAGCTCTGCTCCCCTCCCTTGGAGCACCTTGTGCAGGGAAAAGGTGCTCATGGCAGTGTATGTAGCCCTAACTGCAAACTCCACAACAGCATAAGCACATAACATACCATGCACAAAAGTGCAGAGAAAATCCCTTTGTTTTGGGCCAGTTTGTGTTTTGGAAATCGCAATTCCCAAGCAAATTTGTTTTGCATTAGAAATTCAAATTTGCCCATGTCTTTTATTTCGAGAGGGGAAGGAAGACCAGCAAAACTGATGTAACCCTTTCCTCTGGCGTGCTTTGGCCATTATTAAGTGGCGATTATGAGATGTACTTGGTTGTTGCTGCACTGGACACGGGCTTTTTCATCCTTCTGCAGGCAGAAACAGGAGAGGAACCCTTATTAAAAGATTAAGTTTAATAGCTATTCTTGGCAGGTATGGGAGCCTGTATTCTTTCTGCAGCTGTCTCAGAGCTGTCCCATCTGGTAAAATTTAGCTGCCTTGGTTCGCTTCACCTGCCTGAGCGTCAGCTCGGCGGAGGGAGGTTGGCAGCTGCAGCGCCGTGCTGCTTCTTTCTAATAAAACTCGCTTGCCAGGATCAACATCGGAGACGGTCGCAGTAATTGGTGCAGTGCTGGTGGCTGGGCTGGGCTTGAGCTTCCTTGCTTTAGCTGCACCCAAAAAGGCTGCCTGCACTGGAAGTATAGGAGGGGAATAAATCACCACCGTAGAAAGTGTCTTTAATTAGTGCTGCTCGCACATGGGGAGCCCTGTTGGCATTGATAGCATTTGTCTGGGACAGTCTTAATGTGAAACTCGGCTGGTTTGCAGGCGCATGTCAACTGGTTTGGGAGAAGTGCTGCTGGTTTTGAAGTGTGGACCCACCAGCCTCTGGTGGCTGGTGGAGGGATGCCCACAAAGGGATGGCTGCTGTTGAGGTGGGAAGAGGGTCCAGTCCAGGTTGACAGCTAACACTGGGGTCTCTGCTGTTGCAGGTAGACCGGTGGGACGAAATAACCGGAGGATCAACCGCGGGATCGTGGAGGAGTGCTGCTTTCGGAGCTGCGACCTGGCTCTGCTGGAAACCTACTGCGCCAAGTCTGTCAAGTCCGAGCGTGACCTCTCCGCCACCTCCCTGGTGGGCCTGCCAGCACTCAGCAAGGTAGGAGGGCTGTGCCAGGATGGCAGCACTTCTCCAAAACAGGTAGCAAGAGAAAAGATGGGAAGGCCATGGGTGGGAGAGGACAAACGCTGGCTGCAAAGTCTGCTGCTTCTGCAGAGCCTTTCAGAGATGGTCACCGTTGGCAACTCATGCCAAATACCCTGTAGAAAGTCAGCTTTAAATGAGGTGGAGGACCAGAGATGAGACAAATCATGGAATAGTTTGGGTCGGAAAGGACCTTTTAGTGTTGTCTGGTCCAAACCCCCTGCAATGAGCAGGGACATGTTCAGCTCATGTTGCTCAAGTTGCTCAAAGCCCTGTCCAGCCTGACCTTGAATGTTCCCAGGGATGGGACAATGTTTCCATGGGATGAATGGAGTTCAAAGAGGGGAAGCCCATTTGGAGGGCTTGTGGAGAGGCTAACATTGCTATCTCATCCACTTGCAGGAGAGCTTCCAGAAGCCCTCACATGCCAAGTACTCGAAGTACGACGTATGGCAGAAGAAGAGCTCCCAGCGGCTGCAGCGGGAGGTGCCCGGCATCCTGCGGGCTCGCCAGTACCG